GTTTTGGTATAAAAAATATGTCTTGTTACTCTTCAAGAGAAACGCACAGGTTCTTAGGTGTTAACCCTAATCACTTCACTATTTTTATTGTACACCGTTCGATCCACAACGTATATGTATGCTGGTATTTTTTATAAGGTTTGTACCCTAGTATTAATGATGAGAGCGCGATATGAGCATGCAGATTTATTCGTGGATGGAGTATCGTTATCATGCTAAAATATATCGACATGAATGAAGGCAATACCAACAAGTTCCTAACTTTAAGGAGGTGTTGGAAAATATTTGGCACGACAAACATCAAAGAAACAAGCAAAAACAAAAGCTGATAGTGTCTGCCTAGACCAAACCGGCATGGCCGGTTCCACTACTCCAAACTGGCTAGGCCAGTTTCACTGCGTGCCATGGCTAGGCCCCTATGCCTAGCCCGAGGAAACCGGCTAGGTCGGTATCCCTGCCGAGTCCAAACCGATTTGGTCTAAATCGGTTTTGAATCTATTTTGACCAAGAATCATGGAGAACACATTTTAGACTTTTTCCTACTAGGATAAGACCACACCCTCTATATAAATGAGAAGGTCATGGCCGATTGAGTATTCAAACTTCCAATCATCAAAAACACAACACATACCCCTCTTTTGCCCTACTTTTCTCTCTACCTTGCTATTCGTCAGATCTCCCGATGAGATTTGGTGGCGTTCTTGGTGACCTTGTCGATCCTAGGTGTCGGGGTTATGACCCCGGGGTATCTCAAGGCACCGATTAGTTGGCAGGCCACGAGGCTCATGACTCATTAGATTAACAATGGCCCGAACAACCGAGGCCTAGCTAGAACGAGCATGCCAAACCAACACCTAGCCACGATCCCTTCTCCTGCCTTAGCCACACGGAAGATGCACGACCTCTCCCCGTCACGACCCCTGGGTAGGACAGGGAGAGGTCGAGCATAGCTTAGTATGCTTGCTCTAACAGGAGCAGGCGTGCTGCGCTGACCCTACAAGGACCGATGTGATAGCAATCACCTCGGTCTAGTCAGGCACCATCCCTGTGCCATGTCGCACCAACAAGACAACACCATACAGCGGTGGCAACGGGTACGAAACCCATCGTCCAAATAAGGACCGACAGGACACACGTACGATCCCACCCACTACTGGATGGGATCCATGACAAGGGTCACAACCTAGAGACCTCCTAGGCAGGTGGGGTGCCCTGACCCCAAAGATTAGGATCGTGGCCCTCAGCCCCACGAAGCGACCAGGAAAGCAACGACCCAGGGTGGCTACCTACTACGGGTACAACACCCTAAGAGAACCTAGAGACAATGGCGAAGACCATGACGGATGCCGCATTGTGCAAGACGGTTGACGAACCACCGAAGTGTCTACAGTGCCCGCCATGTCTGGCACAGTAGCACCATGTCTCGATTTGCCACAACGTCGCCACAAGACCATGACGATAGCCATGCCCAGACGGACACCAAAAGACGGCGTAGCTTGCAAGCTAAGTTAGCTAGGACCTCCCTCAGGCTCATGACCCTTCGGTCAAGAGAACCTCCTCTTTGTAGCAAGCCATGTCCCCAAACTCTATATAAAGACAGCTAGGGCACCCATCATGGGGACATTCTCATTCTCCATCCTCTACCATTCACCATAGCAGTAGGGCTCCTGGAGCTTCTCTTTGGACTGCCCCTTGTCTAGCATAGGTTCTACTACCTCTTTCACCATTCTTGCACCCCCCATTGTAAGAACTTTAGAGCATTCAAGCAAGAAACATGCACTCAATCTTCTCTCAGATTGGATGTAGGGCTCCGACCTGAACCAGTATAAATCCTTGTGTCTATTGGATGCTACCATCGTATTCCTAGAGCAGCGCGACAATCGTATAAATTTACTAGTCCGGTTTATGAAACACCGACACTAGGACACCCTCCATGTGCTCCTCCCCGACAAGTCTTCCCGGGAGGTTCGCGAGTCTACCACATGAAGAACGGTTTCAACATCGGTCTAACCGTCCCCTCGGTCGGTTTTGTCGATCCGCTACGTTCTTATTGTGATCTAGGGTCTTTGCAACCTTGGGCATGCTAGCCCCTTGCTAGTGTGTGACCCAATCAGCGTCAACAAGTACGCATCATTTTTTTAGAAAAAGGAATTTTTATTCTGGCCTCTGCAAGAGGTTTGCACACAGCCAATTCTTATTATAGCTTCAAAACATAGATTATAATTTAAAAAGCTCACAAAAATCGAAACCAAGCAATTGAGTGCCTATCTAAGCACTAACTCTTTTAAAAGATGACCACCCATGCTTGGCGAAGGCCTCCATAGCTAAAGTCTCCAATGTGCGACAGGCCCACTTCACATATGATCTGTTGCTCTCCTTTTGTAGGATGTTTTAGAAACGAGTCTAATAAGTTGCCCTGAAAATAACCTACAAATAAGAGTATAATCTTTTTTGTCAAAAGTCACATCATTTCTACAAAGCCAAATAGACCATAAAACTACACTTGTTCCCACGCAAATTAGAGAATGCATATGCTGGCCTGTTTGTTGAAACCACACTCCAGATAAATCTTCTATATCTGTAGGAAGTTGCAATCCAAATTCCATATTAGAAACTCTCCAGACAAATCTCACAACATGATAATCAAAAAACTATGTTGGATGGTTTCCTTGTTGTCACAAAAACAACATCGATCATCTCCTTTCCAATGTCTTCTTAATAAATCGTCTTTCGTTAAAATTACCCCTTTTAGTAAGAACCAAATGAAAACCTTGATTTTAAGGGGTATTTTCAACTTCGATATTGATTTGTTTAGAGGCAAAGGCAAGTTGGTTCACAAGATGCTCATACATTGATTGTACGGTGAAAGATCCTAGTTTTGAAAAGCTCCACTTAATGGAATCTCGTTGGTCATCTCGATTGCACAAATGAATCCTCATAACTAGCTCATTCCATTTAAGTCGATTTTCCCCAACTAATGCTCTTCTAAAAGAGATATTAAGGGGTGTAGAACTAAAAATAATAGCTACTGAAATGTGTTTCTTTCTACAAATATTGTATAGAGATGGGTATTATTCTTTAAGAGTGAACCTTCTATCCTCCCAGAATCTAATCTGTGTACCATTATGAAGGTTATTAAAAGTAGATAGATGAAGGAAGCGATCTTTGAACTTCATATGGCCTGACAAAAATGTGAATCTCCTAGTTTTCACTTAACTTCACCAATGGTTTTATTTTTTAGGTACTTCTTCCTAATTAAGAAGCCATTTCCAAAGCCCATCTTCATTAATTAACTTATATAGCCATTTACTAAGTAAGCAAACATTATGGGTTTCAAGATTCAAGATTCCTAGGCCACCTTCATCCTTTGGTAAACAAAGAATTTCTCATTTCGTTAGCCTATATTTTTTCTTATGGCAATCACCTTGCCAAAAGAAGGCGGACCTATAGAAGTCTTTCTTAAAAATGCCTTTTGGTACTTCAAAGAAAGACATCATAATCATAGCAATGCTACTTAATTAGAATTGAGTTAATTAAGACTAGTCTTCCACAATAGGACAAAAACTTTCCTTTCCAACTACTCAATTTCTTCTGGAACGGTCTTCAATAGCAAAGGTGTTGCTAGCTACAAGGTACAAGCTAGAGATACCAAACTATTCGGACCTATAGAAGTCTTTCTTAAGAATGACTTTTGGTACTTCAAAGAAAGACATCATAAACATAGCAAGGCTACTTAATTAGAATTGAGTTAATTAAGACTAGTCTTTCACAATAGGACAAAAGCTTTCCTTTCCAACTACTCAATTTCTTCTGGAACAGTCTTCAATAGCAAAGGTGTTGCTAGCTACAAGGTACAAGCTAGAGATACCAAACTATTTGAAGCAATAACGCTTGTAGCTTGATCTCAGTTTAGCGTGTTGGGAAACAAAATTACCGCCGAAAAAATTCTTAAGGAAAATTATACTTTTTCTCAAATGTATCAAAGCTACTATTTTGTGACTCAATTTCATAAAACTTCACTTTTATTGTCTTCTTTTTGTCACAAACTACGCTTGTACTGACATTTGTATCTACTTTTTTGTCAATATGTATCAGAATATTATACTTTCAAATAAATGGTTTCACGAAAAGCAATAATATAAACATTCTTTTGCAATTCAAGGTCATAAAATGTGCAGTTTACGATAGGAAATACAGTAAAAGATGTGTAAAATATAATAAATCTGAGAAGTGTAGTTTGTAAAATGTAAAGTACTCCCTCCATCCTAAATTATAAGACGTTTGACTTTTTTGACCCCAAATTTGACCACTCGTCTTATTCAAAAATTTGTGCAAACATAGTCAAATTTAAGTCATTCTTGAAGAACTTTTATTAATAAACCAAGACACGACAAAATAAGTGATATTTTGTACAAATTTTTAAATAAAATGAGTGGTCAAACTTGGTGTAAAAAAAATCAAACGGCTTATAATCTAGGATGGATTGAGTACTTATCAGAAAATATAGTTTTGCTATATTTTATACAATTGTAATGTAATTCAAAGAATTTACCCTAAAAATCTAACCCTTTCTAGGAAGAAAAAAGAGGAAACGTACTGTTTTTGCAAATTCTGCCATCAAACGAAGCCAACGTCCAGCATTCCGTTTCAGGCACCAGATAAGCTTCCGTCTCCAAAGTCCAAACTAGTCATGTACGTAATTATTGCCTATATTTTTCGAACGCCTAATGCCTAAACCGAAGAATGCCAAAAACAATAAGAAAACCAACATGACCAGGTCGAAATTCTTATGTGCTGGGAACAAGTCCGAATCGTCTTATATAAATAGTAGTATAATCAGCTGCACCGTGTTTTTGCTCTCAAAATGCACGACAAATTAAATTACACAGGTAGCTCGCATATATTACAGCCGTGTGTTCTAATGATTACAGCTGTCTATTTGAATCAGCCAAAGCACCACAAAAATTGTTAGCAATGGCACTTCTCATCTTGCAGCACACCTATTTGCGCTGAATTACAGGGAGGTAGACACCCTCAGCTGCCAGCCAGAGGTTGTCTGGGCGTTTGTCACCCACACCGCATACCTGTGGAAGCAGGCAAAAAGAAAAATATAACATATTGATTAAACGTTTTACATAATTCTGGGAGTAACGCCTACAGTTCTTAGTAGCATGGATGGCAAGTAACACAAGACCATGTCAAACCCACCTCTTGCTGCCCACCAGCAATGCGCGTGTACTTCCTATCATGGCTGTGTAGATAACCACCAGTATCAACATGCCGCAACCTAATTCTCTGGTCTTGCCGCCATGTTTTCCCACTGCCCTCAACCTCAAGCCTAATGATAAAATAGTGCAACAGTAGCAAACTCAGTGCTATCAAGTCAATGGATACAGCAATAGCTGACCTAATTAAATTTGTAGCAGAAGTACAGACCTCCAGTAGTCTCCAGTATCTGACTCATTCTCACCACCAAAGCAACTAACCTGAAGGTACATTTACACACATGTAACATAATGATGTCTTTAACGAACAAAGATGTGACACCTGACGGCAAGACAATTGTATCCAAAGAAGGAAAATATCCATTTGACAAATGTTGCCATTAAATCTGTGTTCTAACTTGTAAATTCTCAATAGAGACAACAAGGGCGTACCCAGTGCAGAGAGCTCCTGCTCTGTGCAGGGTCTGAGGAAGGGTGTCAGTGGCAAGCCTTACCCTCGCCTGTGCAATGCGAGGAGACCGCGACTCGAACCCGGGACCTTCCGGTCACAGGCGGTAAGACTCTACCGCTTGCACCGGGCCCGCCCTTCTCAATAGAGACAACAAGAAGGAAACAAAAATCATATTCAGTGGAAAGTTTCAAAAGAGGTAACAAACTTTTTCCAGATCTCAGAAACACCATTTTTGTGAATTACTCTGTTTCACGAGGGATGTTGAGGTTGTAGAATAACTCAACTATTTTTCTAACCTGAGAACTATATTTAGCTAAAACCAATACTTCAGTAAAAGGTTATCTGTGTATAAGATCTGCAAGCATTGCATGAAAGTAGATAAAAGATCAATTCACTAACCTCCAGATTTCCAGTGATGGGGGAAGCATGCAGGTGGCTGTGTAGCCACTTTCTAGTCCTCATATGCTGAAGCCTAATAGTTGTTCCATGTGTTATGGGATCACCTTGTTTTGCAGATGAATCTGGTTGAGGTCTCACTATCTGCATAACAAAATGTATCATAAAAGTAGGTTGTCAAGAAAACTTGGAACCTTGGATCAGAACTTTAACCATGAGTTACATCCATACTCCCTCCGTTCCAAATTGTAAAACGTTTTGCTTTTTTGATACATAGCTTTTGCCATGCACTAAAATATACACTATGACCTTCAGATGCACCAGTGCATTGTGGAATCCTAAGTCGAGATATCAATGTGAGGAGAGGTAGAGGAAGACCGAAGCTGATATGGGGGGAGGCAATAAAAAGAGATTTAATGGGTTGGGATATACGTAGAGATCTTTGTTTAGATAGGAGTGCTTGCAAAGCAGCTATCGACGTGCCTGAACCATGACTAGGGGCTCATGTTGGGTTTCAACTCTAGCCTACCCCAACTTGCTTTGGACTAAAAGGCTTTGTTGTTGTCGTCGTCGTCGTCGTCGTCTAAATACATAGAAAAAGCAATGCATCTAGAAAAGCTAGAACATCTTACAATTTAGAATAGAGGGAGTAGAAAATTAATAAAAACTATGTCCTGCCAAGAAGCAATTGAAGAAAAATAACAGCGCATCACAGACATCAAAATGCCCTGTAACTAAATGTTATTCATAATATGCATATTTTCTTTAAGTTAAAATTAAAGAAAGACAAAGAAAAATTGATAATCTCCTTTCTGTATTGTTCACACAATGTTTCCTTTTTAAATTGCAGAACTCAAGGCATAGCAAATAAAACAGTCCACACATGATTAAACAACAGGTTTCTTTGATTAACTGCTAGCCTCAGCAATTAATTTAAGAATGATTTTGCTAATTCTTATAGGCCTGTTTTCTTATCATAAGTAACTCGACTAGCATGGACAATGGATTGTGCACAGATTTGCTGTGTTTTTAGTGGATGTTAATAGGATGAAATAAGAAATGTAATTTGTGCTAAAGGGGAAAAGCTAGATGCCAGAACAAGTTAAGTGAACGTGCAGGGCTTCAGCTGCTAAGCAAATGATGATATTGATTTCATGAGTGAATCAGAGACATACATACCCAGTAGCTATTGGCGTCGTCGATGTTGGGGAAGCTGGTGACCGACTGCTGGCCGCTGCCAGATCCATATGGCACGTCGTGAGAATGCAGCCGAAACTTGGTCCTCTCATGCATCAACTTGATCACTGAGCCGTAGGTTATCTATCCACAAATAGGGGAAACAGTCATATCACTCGCCTAATCCACCAAGCACGACGGTGGTGAAGAAATCAGTTAGGCACCAAGTCCCCCGTTCCCCAACCCCAATCCGAAACGCGCAACACCTATCCAAATACAGACCCCGGGCGAACACAAAAATTAAAACGCGGATGAGGAGGTGCGAAACCTCGACGACGGTATCCGGGTCGGCGGCGTAGGACTGCGCCGGCGCAGCCTCGGGGAGGTCGAGGCCGAGGTAGAGCAGAAGCGCGAGCGCGAACGACGCGGCGGCCATCGCCAGCAGCAGCGCGAGGAACCAGGTCCTCTGCCAGAAGGGCAAGGCCTCCTGCTCTTCCGGGCCCGCGCCGCGGCGCCTGATCCGCTCGCGCGCGAGGGCGCCGGCGAGGCTGGTGGTCGCCCCCGCCTCCGACGGATTCGGCTGTTGGTCGGCGAAGGCGGCGCGGCGGCGGGACAGGCCCTGCGGCGGCTGGGTCGCGGACGGCGCCACCGCGGCAGCGGTCGTGGCCTCGAGGAGGCAGTGGACGGGGCACAGGAGCTTCTGGAAGGCTCGCTTCAGGGCAGGGCTCTCCGCTTTGAGCACGCGAGGAGAAGGCGACTAGTGTTCCGCGTTTGAAAAGGTTGGGCGTTGGCAGGAAGAATCACAGGTTTACAGCGATGACCACGACGGCAGGTTTAACAATGACATGTGGAATCTTATGACCACGACGGCATGTCAGATAAATGTAACGAAATCAAAACCAATGTTTGGTTGTGGGTTTGGACAATTATTCTTACAGTGATTTAGCTAGGTACCTCGGGCGGCGCCGATTTCGCCCGCAACTAAACGAGGCCTTAGTTAGGTCAATGGGCCCCGTGGTCATTGTTGTGAGCGAGGAGTGCTAATCGTACGGAGTACGTACAAAGGAGTGGGTGGCTGGGTGCGGCGGGGAGCCGGGGAGGAGCGGTTTTCGCGGCCACGTCTGGCGAGGTGGTGTCCGGCCAATCAGGAAGCGATAGCGTGGCTGCGGTGGTGACGTGGTAGGAGGTTACTGGTTGGCAAGCCTGCGCCCTCGTGGCAGTGGCTTTGACGGGCCTGAGCGCCTGAGCTGAGCAGTTCGGTTTTTTCCTAGGCGTGTGGGGGCGTGTGTTTAGTTTCCAAAATTTTACAAAAGTTTTTAAGATTTTTAGTCACATCAAATCTTTGATGCATGCATAGCTCTATTCGGCTTACCCCATATTTGACTTGTTTAAACTTCTTTTTTTCGGCCTAATAAAGATTTTTCTCTCACAACAATTCGGTTTTAACGGTGTTTTTCGGTAGGTTCCACCAAGTTTCGAGACCAAGTGAACGGGGCCCATGAAGCATTAAATATAAATAAAAAATAAAACTAATTACACAGTTTAGACGAAATTCACGAGACGAATCTTTTAAGCCTAATTAGACTATGATTGGACACTAATTGACAAATAACAACGAAAATGCTATAATACTATTTCTCAACAAAATTCGCCAACTAAACAAGGCTTAGGTAGTAGTGCGCTGGTCTACACCGTGTATGCTGTGCCAAGGGCTGGATAACGAATCATGCGGTCACGCCTCGTCTGGCTCGGCTTGGTTCGACCAATTTGTTTAGTATGGACATTAACTATATTGATATGGCACTATATTGATTAAGAGAGATGATAAAAATTTTATATAAATAGAGATAGTTTTATGGGGATGAAACTCTTCTACACTATTTCTAAAATATGAATGTATTGAAAACTGGACCATAAAACCTCCACTGACACTGGACTAAGAAGATACTCCCTCCATCCCGCAATATCTAACAACCCTATGTAGCAATCATTTCTCATCTGTTCATTTGGATGGGCATGCCATCAATGCTAATCACCACATCATTTTTCTACAATAAAAAAAATCAGTGCTCACATCCCTCTTTCACAGTTAAACATGCAGTACAGTATTTTTTTCATTAAACAAATCAAAGAGGACACCACAATATGCATTTCGCTCGGCGGCAAACACCACTTAGCGTCAATTTTACACAGACAAAGCAAACTAAAATGTCAAACTATTGCTCCAGCACCATTTGTCGAGCATGTAGGAAATAAAAGCCTGATAACCTCTTGTTGCTTTCATTTGAACCATTCACCTCTCATCCATCTTCCATGCCAATAGACTTAAACACACTACATAGGAGGGAGGAGAGGAGGTGCCTGATCTTAACAAGAGTCCTGCCGAACATGAAGAGGATCAAGATGTAGTGGCTGCAGATGAAGTTGGGGAGCTGATCACTTTGGTCTCTATCCAGATCAGAATGATGAACAAGCAGAAATTCATCAAGGTAAGCACATCTATTTCTATCCAAAACTGAGTGAACTAGTTCTAACCTCTCTATCTCCTAAAATTAGAATGTTGGTTTATTTCTCCCTCCTAAAATCACAAGCAACATCACGGAACTTAGTTATTACTACTATTTTTCACCTGAAACTCTTGTGTACCAGGTGTTCTCTATAGCCTCTCTCTCTCCCAAATTAGTACATGCTACTTTCCTATCTGCTAAAATAACTAGGAACATCTGTGAACTTTTACTGTATACCTATCACCTGAAACTCTTTTGTAGCAGGGCTCCTTTGTATACTCTATGTTGGTGTTTTGTCGACCAACTAGTAAATTTGTATGAATGTCACGCTGTTCCAGGAAGACGATGGTAACATCCAAAAGATACAAGGAATTATACTGATTCAGGTTGGAGCCCTACGTCCAGTCTCAAAGAAGATCGAGTGCGTGTTCCTCGATTGAATGCTCTGAAATTCTTACAATAGGGTATGCAAGAAGGGTGAAAGAGGTAGGAGAGTGTTGTCTATGATCCTGAAGATGGATCCTATGAAGATATCCCTACGAGGGGTGCCCTGGTTGTCCTTATATAGAGTCCAGGACCAGGCCACATACAAAGAGATAGGTTCTCCCGACCGAGCGGTCGTGAGCCTGAGAGAGGAAAACTAGCTAACTTGGCCGGCAAGGAAGGTCGTCTTGTTGAACGTTCGAGCATGGTCGTCGTCATGGTCTTTGCCCATGTCGCAGTATGGGTGGCGTGGTGCTACTGTGCCAGCTGTGTCAGTACTGTTGGCACGATGGTGGTTCATCATCGCCTCCTGATCTCCCAAGGGCGTCGTACAGGAGTTGGTAGTCGCCCCCAGGTCATTGGTTGTCTTGCTGCTCGTGGAGCTGGTGGCCACGATCCTGAGCTCTGGGGTCGTTTCCTGCATTGGTTTGGATGGCCTTGAAAGTCAAGGCCGTAGCCACGAGCCCCATCCCGTAGTGGGTGGGACCGTATGCCTGTCCTATCGGGCCATACTTGGACGGTGGCTACCATACCTGTCATCATCGCCTGGCGGTCCTGTCTTGTCTGCAACGTGGCGTAGGGATGGCGCTTGCTCCGAGATGGCTATCCCCTCGGTCCTAGCAGGCTGAGCAGGCGTGCCTATCCTTGTCAGGGTAGGAGTACTTGGTGAGGCTCGGCCCCGTCGGCCCCTCCCATGGGTTGGGACGAAAGAGAGGTCATGCGATGTTGCATGGTGCACAGTGAAGGGAGAGGGAGGAGGTCGTGGCCAATTCCTCATCGTAGAGTTTGGGCCAGGGCCTACGTAGCTTAGCTGGGCCTCGGTCGTTTGGGCTTATACTAGCTAGCGTACCGTGGGCCGCTCTAGTGGCTAACTAGTCGGTGCTTTGAGATACCTAGGGTGTCATAACCCCGACAGTAGCCCCCGAGCGTCTTTGCGATCACGAAGTGATCATGAACGCACTGATATCTACATATATCAGATGTGGGTTCGAAGTTATGGCTGATCCGAGCTCGGAGCTCGACCCCTTGCGGGGCTAGTGCATTCAATGCAGTAGGTGGCTGTTACGCCCTGTCCCGTCAGTCCGTCCTGACAACATGGTACGTGACTATTCTATCGAGCCTGGCTGTGTTAGTGTGCTACGTATCGGGGTACGTGATCCAGGCAAGGTCGAGTGGTCTCGTCGATGTTGTATTGGCTTTGCCTTTAGGAGGATCTTGATTTCTCTGACCTCATGCTGGCATCTGACATTGGATGTGACCTCCTGTGGTTCGCCACGCTACGCAGGTGTCTTAGGCCACTCAGTTCGCTCTTGGGCCTATAAATTATGGCCTTCCTACCATTTGATCCACTCACAACCCATGTCTATGAACTGCTCTTAGACTTTTTGAAAGGCTAAGTTTGAGAGGGAGAGTGCCTCCAAGTAGATAGTGGAGTTTGAGTATGCGACCCGCCAGGAGTCGATTGCGTTGGCTGGAAGCCAGCGTTGCTCCCTCCAACAACTGGTGCTAGAAGGAGACTTGCGAGCAGGGGAGGATGGGATGGCATGGTTACCATTCCTGCACCAATGTGACTACATCATTCTCCGAACCCTACGGGTTTGGCTTTTCGACATGGTCGTTGGTTGAGGACGATTTCACCTCTCCATCCTCATCGTGGAGGATACGTTCATGGTGCACTCACGCTATGGAGATCAGGCAACCCATCATGGATATGATGGTTCTCCCTTGACTCCACAACCCTCTACTCATGCCCTAGTGTTTCTTGTGAAAGCCCACGGGTGCCCATTGAGGCATCTTTGAGGTTGTGCGACCTTCGTATCTCTCTCCATGCTCTTGTGCCCCGGGAGTCGTGGTGCTATAGGAAGGTTAGTGTGGTGTTCTTTTCCACCTTGTCCTTCTGTGCCAGTAGCAGGGACTCCTAGAGCTTATTGGGGATGCCACCTGTGTGGGGGTTCTAGATTTTTATTTTATACACGGCTTGGCCACGCTTGTCCCTGTGATTGTTGAAAAGAGAAGCCTCTTTTCCATGTTGCTTGTTCAAGGTTGTAATGAACCCCTGAGATTTTTGGTTGGGGTCAGGCGTGTCGGTTCGAGGCTACAAGTTTAGACCGAGTTGTCGGTTTTCCTCCACGCGTGATGGGTAGGCTGATTTTTGCTCGTGTATTTTTCCTTTGACCATGCCTTAGCTCGTTTGAAGTGTCCCGATTATGGTTTGGCCTCAACCTTTAGCAGTGTCGTGTGGACCTGACTTCTTTCTTCCCTGACATCCTTTTTGAGCCTAAGGGGTCATGATGCTTAGTTATAGGTAGGTTTAGGTTTGCCCCAAGCGGGGAGAGGCTTGTCCACTGTAACCATGTGGTCAGAGCGGTGTGCCTTGTTGAGGTCAATGGGTAATTCAAGTGGGATCTGATATCCTCCCTAGTAGACGTGGAGTTTAGCTGTGCCT